TGATCCCCCCCCCCCCCCCCCCAAAAAAAAAACAACAACAACAAAGAACAAAAAAAAAAACACAATTCTTTAACCTAATAAAATAGAATAATAAAAATAACATATAAAACACAACAGGCAAAACCAATAACACATGAACTAACACACGAACAAAACTAATAAGGAAACCAACAGACAAAGTAGCACGCAATCTCAAAAAAGCACGTTAATTAAGTCAATAGAAATAAAAATGTTTATACATGACATTTGCTACAAAAAACAAACAATAAGGGATAAATATATATAAGTTTGTTTAAATTTGGTGCCTAATATATACTTCATTTTTGAGACTAGATATATAAATAATTACCAATGACAAAAAAATTCATCTATAATGTCAAGTTAAAGACACACGACATTGTCGAGCTGAGGAAAAATTTCACAAAGCCGAGAAAAGCACGTGAACATAAGTTATTCGATATCGCCCCCCTCCCCCCCCCCCTCAACCCGAAAAAAATAAAAATGAAAACCAAGTAGCAGTCTATTTAAATGAAGATCTTTTTACCTCACGATATAACCCTAGCCTAGGTCAAGGTTACGTCAGGAGACGTACTTTTAACAGTCTGGTGGATGTCACCACCCAGTGATCCATTGACATATTGCACAACAATTTTCTTTTTTTTTTTTAAATTGAAAAAAATAAAATAAAAATGGGTGGTTATCTTTAAGAAAAAAATATGAAGAAAAAATGTCAATATTTGATGTTGTTAACAAGAAAAAATGTCAATATTTGATGTTGTTAACAACAACAAAAAAGGTAAGAAGACACCACCACACACCTTTTTTAAAACGTCATTGAAATTTCTTGATGAAATGATTTGATATTTAGCGAAACTATTTTAACGTATTCTAAAAAGTCTTTATTTTCAATTGCTGAGCATAACTGACACAACCAGTAGGTACCTTTAAATTCCTGTTTTCTAAAAATAGCCTAAATCCACTGGCAAGATTGTGAATCTTGGTATTGAAGTGAAATTTAACATATCACTCAGCAAAAGCAAAACAAAAAAATACCAAAAACATGAAAATACTGGGGAGAAAAAAAAAGGAAAAGGGGGGGGGGGAGATGGCTGTGCGGCTGCTTTATTATTTCAACTCATACTGCTTTAACATGGCAAATTTTAGCATATTTATTTTTTATTTAATGCCAAAAAGAAAAAAATATTTAAAATAAACAGTTTAAAGTGCATTTAGATTTTTGTAAGATGACATTTACCACCGGATATATATTTTGAGATTTTATTTTTAGAAACATAATATGCAGCTTCATGTTGCCAAAAAAGAAACGTAAATGGAACAGCCGGCAGTGACATCGATCGGGCTGTTGAGAGTTCCGCTTCACTTGTAGCCTTGACCTTGGCCTAGATCTGACGTCCTGTCCCTTTTTTAATCTGCGACTTGATTTATTTGTTATTGTTTTCCCCGACACAACTCGTGATGCGTGTCGGCGTGCATGTGTTCTCACCGGCCTGGGTCTATTCTGGATTCGACGCTCATCGTGAAGCAACGCACGGACCTTGTGGATCACAGATTCGGGTCACCAAGAGATTACATTGGGACAAACGATCAGTAACTCTTCATCGGAAACCGTAATACGTGTGTTCTCTAGTGTTGTTAACTTAATCGTAACCGTTCCCCGCCAATTACAAGGTGAGGTCAGTGTTGGTAGGGGGGTTTACTTGGTTGTAACGTGGACAGGGCCAACTGTTCTCAAATGTGTATATTGTGGAAGTGGACAATGGCGAGTTATATACATATCTGCATGTTATGGAAGTGGACGAAAGTCTACATATTATGGAAGTGGACAATAGATAGTTATATACTTATCTGCATATTGTGGAAGTGAACACTAGCTAGTTATAAACATATCTGCATATTACGGAAGTGGATTGTAGCTCATTATAAACACATCTGCATATTGTGGAAGTGAAAAGTAGATGGTTATATATTTATCTGCGTGTTATGGAAGTGGAATTTTGCTAGTTGTATACATATCTGGAAGTGTACAATGACTAGTAAAATACACATCTTCATAATATGAAAGTGTACAATGACTAGTTAAATACACATCTGCATATTATGGAAGTGTAAAATGACTAGTAAAATACACATCTTCATATTATGGAAGTGGACATTGTCTAGTTATATGCATTTATATATATATATATATATATATATATATATATATATATATATACATATATATATATATATATATATATATATATATATTGATAGTTGTAATTAATATTATTGATACACGTTGTGAACCATTGCTGCATAGCAATGTAGCGAGCAGTAATGTCATTAATAGTTATGTACATTTCCTTATATTTTTGTAAATGATACTGTTTATATTATTACTAATATACAATTTCGTATGTTAACTTATATTTGTTAAATGCTGTTTGGTATACTTAATTTGTGTTCGTACCATCTTTGCTAGTAATGAACCTTGCTGTACACCTATGTAGTTGACATCATCATCAATACTGTTTATCTACCTACTGGTAAACCACACAGTGGTACTTTCTTGTTATAAAGTGCAAACAGTATTGAAGAACCGGCCATAAGAGAAAGAACAAATAAAGATTTTTTATTTCTTTAAAAAAAATATTATGTAATCAAGGGTTTGGATAAGCAATTATTGATGAGTTTGTGTCAGATGTTTCTGACAGGTAAGATTGTGATAGTAGTGTTTAAGAGGTAACTGTGGTAGTGGTGCGTGTATGTGTCAATAGTTGGTTCTGAGTAGTAGTTCGTGTTACAGGTATGTTTGTGGTAGGGATATTTTATGACACATACGTTTGAGGTAGGGATGTTTATGACAGGTAAGTTTGAGGTAGGGATGTTTATGACAAGAACGTTTGTGGTAGGGATTTTTATGACAAGAAAGTTTGTGGTAGTGAGGTTTATGACAGGTAAGTTTGTGGCAGTGGTGTTTAGGACAGGTAAGTTTGTGGCAGTGGTGTTTAGGACAGGTAAGTTTGTGGCAGTGGTGTTTAGGACAGATACATTTGAAGGGTTGTGTGAGACAGTTTGGTTTGTTATTGTAATATGAGTGTGACAAGTAGTTTTGTGGTAAGATATTTAGGAGTGACAGGTACATTCGTTGCAGTGCTACGTGATGTGTGTGTTTTACAGGTCAATGTGTGGTAGTTGTGTGTGTGACACATGAGTACATATACCAGGGGTGTGAGAGTCAGGTGGGTTTGTTTGAGTTGACAGGACCAGGTGAGTTTGTGAGTGGGGAAGGTGAGTTTGCTTGCGTTGACTGGACCAGGTGAGTTTGTGAGTGGGACAGGTGAGTTTGTTTGAGTTGACTGGAACAGGTGAGTTTGTGAGTGGGACAGGTGAGTTTGTTTGAGTTGACTGGAACAGGTGAGTTTGTGAGTGGGACAGGTGAGTTTGCTTGCGTTGACTGGACCAGGTGAGTTTGTGAGTGGGACAGGTGAGTTTGTTTGAGTTGACTGGAACAGGTGAGTTTGTGAGTGGGACAGGTGAATTTGTTTGAGTTGACCGGAACAGGTGAGTTTGATAAAACATTTGTTCAGGTCATTTTGTGTTTTGGTGTTTGGACTGGTGGGTTAGTGACAGCTGGGGGGCTTGCTGGGTGGTGCGCGGGACAAGAACGCTCTGTGAATGCAGTAACGACTTTTTTTTAACAAGTCCAATTTTGTTGTTGTTGTCATTTGTTTGAATTCAAGCTACAACGCCACCAAATTTCCTACAGTGTGTCGGCTTGGCGTGACCCATGCGCAATAACCAGTGTACCGGCTTGGCGTGACCCATGCGCAATAACCAGTGTGTCGGCTTGGCGTGACACATGCGCAATAACCAGTGTGTCGGCTTGGCGTGACACATGCACAATAACAAACTGACTTCATTTTTTTTTTTTTTTTATCTTGCTCTCTTTAAAAGGAAAGACCGACTGAATTTACAACTGTGCACATCAAAGTGTAGTCTCTCCTGACATGATGGTGAACATACTGAATCTTACCGCCTGCCTGGTGTTGATGTGCGTCATGAAACTGGGTACGTCTTTCTCGGTCTGTTCGAAGCTGTAGACAACACGCACATTGATTGAATGTTGACACAACCTCACACAGGCAAAAACATGCATGGCTTATTGACCAACACACATCTAAGGTTTATTCAAGACAATATTAACACACACAAAAATTGTAACAAGATTTATTATCTAGGTATTATCGGTTTTTTTTTTACACTGGTTCCGTGTATTTTGAGAAAATATCCCGTGGGTCAAAGTGTTACCAAAAAAAAAAAAAAAAGATTTAATTTCTTATTTTCTATAATATATGCCAGCCTTTAAAGATAGTCCTACAGACAGTTATTAAAAAAATAGCCTACCGACAGTACTACACACTATCTGACAGCTATTAAACAATAGACCTATAGAAGTTCCTATATATATATATATATATATATATATATACATATATATATATATATTATATGTATTTATCTGTATGCACATATGTTTAAATAGATTTCAGAAAAACGGGGAGTTGACACAAATATTAAAAGATTGAAAAATTTAACATTTCAGCTTAGAGTTATGTAGTGATTTTCAAAAATAATTAAACCAGTATTTCAATTTTCAGGATATGATGTAGACGCGCATCTACCTAAAGCAGAGGCATCTGGGACATCTGGGGTTCATGGAAGGAAAGGGATGCCTGGTAGCAATGGTCAAGCTGGGCCTCCTGGGGAAACATTGGGGGCTAAAGGACCTCTGGGATTCAGGGGACACAGGCTTGGCGGGAGTCCTGGACGCAGTGGGCAACCCGGGACACCTGGAAAGAATGGTTCGCCCGGTGGAGAATGTCTGGCCATGGGAACTGCGGCTGCTGGAGAGCCGGGGCTGGCCGGGGAGGATGGGGCGCCTGGATTGCCCGGCTACCCTGGTTTTGCTGGGGCACAGGGGGCTCCCGGTGGACCAGGTGTGAACGGGGGACCCGGGGGTGATGGTGGACCCGGGGGAAAAGGGGGGCCCGGGACAAAAGGTGGAAACGGAGGTCCTGGGGGAGCTGCAGGCGTCGGGGGTGCTGGTGGTGCCGGGGGCAGTGGCGCTGATGGAGGGAACGGGGGCAATGGAGGAAACGGTGGTGACAGGGGAGATGGGGATGATATGGGCGTGGGGGGTTTTGGGGGACCTGGGGGGGTCGGTGGACCATACGGTCCCGGGGGGCCGAACATGGGATGCCACCGTGCCTGTAAGCTCGAAAAACACGCTCCTGTTTGCGGAAGTGACGGCAAGACCTACCCAAATGTTTGTAAACTCAATTCCAGGAACTGTCGCAGGCCTGCCAGCAAGAAGATCGACTTGGCTCACTCAGGGGAATGTAGCGTCGCAGAAAAGGCGGTCCCTCAGACTAAAATGAACACTTTCATTTTCAGATATATCAATTAGCTTTAAACGGAGCAATACTTTGTCAATTGTTGAAATTTAAAAAAAAAATTTGTGTTTAACTTGTGAAGTAACATAGCTCTTCGACTAACTCACATAACGCTTTATGTTATGTGAATTATACAAGAATTGATGTGCATAATGAATGTAGCTTTGTTTTAGCATAAACAATATATTATTATACACTATGTATTTCTTTTTTTTCAATTTAAAAATTTGCTCTTAAAATCTTCATGTATATATATTCATTGAATAATGTTTTATTTAATTAAGGTATGACTTAATAACCTACTTAATTTACACCAATTTGTTTAAATTTATTCATTTTTTTTTAAATTTCTTTTGCTAATAAATTTGTATGTATAATTTTTAGAAACGTTCTAGAATTTTTATTTCCTTTTTGAAGTGCTATTCTTTGTTCGTTCTTGTTTGTTATTGGCACATTGTTTGTTTAGGGTATATTTAGGGTATATATAAAAACAGAGGGGTTGTACATAATCTGGCAGTGTTTTACCATAGAAATATATTTCCATACCTTGGGTCTGATCTTTGTGGCTAATTTGCCATTGAAGAAGAGGTCATGATCAGGATCGTGAAAATCAGGGTTGTCTTTTCAGGCTTTTTTCATGAAGAGGGGAAGGCTTTGGGGGGGGGGGGCAAAACGAAAACTTGGTCGGCTTTGAAGTTGTTTATTCCTGGAGACGCCATAGTACATAGCAATTGAAATAAAAAATAAAAAAAATTCAGTCAGTCCCACAATCCCCAACCTGCCCTACCCCCAATGAAATCCCTGGTGAAAATTGTAGTGGTATTGTTCAAAGAGGAAGGTCAGTTTGGGAAAAATTCTAAGCTATCTGAAAGCACAAAACTACGAGGTTTTCAGGCACTTGTGCTCAGCACGCCCTTATATGGCATTTAAAATTGAACCACATATGACAGCCATGTGTGTTTTTACGCCCCTATATGGCAGTGAAGTGTGAACCACATAAGACTGACATGTGCGTTTAGTACGCCCTTGTAAGGCAGTGAATTGTGGACCACATATGAAAGCCATATATGCGTAGAATTCATCTATAAGGCAGTGAAGTGTGACCCATACATGACAGCCATGTGTGTTTATTATTATTATTATTATTATTATAAGTGGTTTTTTATTGCGTGGTACCCAGCCTAGGGCTAGGCTCACCACGCTGTACATACAATTTAACAAACATAATAAAAATCTGAAATAATTAATTGACATACATTATTTAAATAAAACAATACAAATGTATATATAAAATTATTTACATCTCAAGCCACGGAAGACAGACAGTACCATCGTTTTACGGTCAGGGGTGGGAATCAGTCAGGATAGTAGAGATTAAATAGATGTGTTTTGAGTGCAGTTTTGAAGGTTGTGATGGTCGGTATATTGCGGATGTGTAATGGAAGAGAATTCCATTGTTTGGGTGCACAGAAAGAAAACGATCGTTCACCGTATGTTTTTGTGCGAGTCTTGGGGACAGAAAGAATACTCGCGTCTGCGGAGGAGCGAAGCTGTCGAAGGGGTGAATAGACAGAAAGAAGTTCAGTTAGATAGGAAGGGGAGGAATTCGACAAAATGTTGTGGCAGAGAACAAAGAGTTTGTAGTCAACACGTGCTTGTATAGGTAGCCAATGAAGTGAATGAAGTAGTGGTGTGACGTAATCACGTTTTCTTGCCCTTAGAATTAGCCTAGCGGCTGAGTTTTGAACCGTTTGTAATTTTTCTAAGAAATGTTTTGGTGAACCTGATAGAAGAGAATTACAATAGTCAAGACGAGAGAGAACAAGAGCGCAGACGAAGGTTTTTGTTGCACCAACTGTAAGATGTTGTCGTATGGAGCTTATCTGACGAATGGCGGTGTATGCAGAGCGACAAATGTGAGATATGATTATCGAGAGACATATTGTTAGACAGTATATAACCAAGATTCCTAGCAGAGAAAATAAACTGTATATCGGAGTTACCACATGAAATGAAGTGGTGAGAGCTGAGTTTGAGGATGATTTATGATAGTGAATAAGGAGTACATCCGTTTTGTCATCGTTAAGCTTCAACTTGCTGAGTGTCATCCATGTCATGACATCATCAATGCTCTCCCGCAAAGTCCATATAGCAGAATCGACAAGAGAGTGTGAACCACATAAGACTGACATGTGTGTTTAGTACGCCCCTGTAAGGCAGAGAAGTGTGGACCACATATGACAGCCATGTGTGCTCAGTACGCCCCTGTAAGGCAGTGAAGCGTGGACCACATATGAAAGCCATGTGTGCTCAGTACGCCCTTATAAGACAGTGAAGTGTGGACCACATATGACAGCCATGTGTGCTCAGTACACACCTGTAAGGCAGAGAAGTGTGGACCACATATAAAAACCATGTGTGTTCAGTATGCCCTTATAAGACAGTGAAGTGTGGACCACATATGAAAGCCATGTGAGCTCAGTAAGCCCTCATAAGGCAGTGAAGTGTTGCCCACATTTGACAGCCATGTGTGTTTAGTACGCTCCTATAAGGCAGTGAAGTGTGGAAAAAATGACAACCTTGTGTGTTTAGTTCGCTCCATGTTATACTCAGTACGTTCCTATATCCCACTGAAGTGTGCACGACATATTATAGCCATGTGTGCTCAGTACGCTCCTATATGGCAGTGAAGAGTGGATCATACAAGCCTCCACCGAAGACGTCTCCGTTCCCGTGCGGCGCATTCAATGGCACGACAAAGTGCGTAACACTTAAATTTTGCAACGTTCCAAAATGTGCTGCATTTTCTAGGCTCTTAGAAAGAGATGCCTACGCTGGTAAGACCATGTAAGGAGAATAGATGAAGGCCGCATTCCGAAGTATTTTCTTTTGTTGAAAATAAGAAGAGGGAGGAAGATTTACTGCATGGAATAAGATGAACTTTACAGGCATATGCACAATAAATATGAAGCGTGCCATCATCGAAATCGGAGTATTGGAGACTATACTTGATCAGAGTTTCGGCTGACTAAAAACAGTGCATTTCAGAACCAAACCGGCAGAAGATGCGTGAAACGAGGTCCTTACAAAACAAAAAAATAATTTTAAAAAATTGATATTACAGACGGCAAAGGCAATCCAGGAGTCAAAGGCTCTCAAACAATAAATGCAGCTTAAACTGTTATTCCAGGATCGGCCCCAATAGCCACTCGAGTGTGTGTCAAGAAGATATCGTTCTAATGAAGACGGAAGGATGCCAATGAATTTGCTGTTAGTAAATTTTTAAAAATATATATATATATTTCTTGTATCATACAAATTACAATTAATTATATGAATCGGCTCAAAGGTGAAAATATCCTCTTTTTTATCCAAAGTGACTTATATTTGTATTTTCCTTACCTATACGACATTGCCCTTTTCTACAATCATAGACATTTTTTTTTTTTAAGAGCGCATTCAAGTAATACAATATTATTATTGTTTCGCATTTGTCTGCGGAGCACCGAAAGGATCTCTTGCTAAACAGAAAGTGTTTAAAGCATTACAAAAGTTGTATTAGTTGGCAAGAATTAAAGCAACTCATGGAAGTATTCTCATAATTTACTCAATTATTTTCACACAAAAACAGGAATTCTTTATTAAGAACTTCAACAAGTACTCCAAGCAAGTATTCTACACGATTATTTCGCGCCAAAATGTATGTGTTAACTACAAAACCAAATGTTTGATCTTATATTTATTTTTCGTACATTAAAACAAAAAAATTCTCGCTCGACAGACGGGAATAATCCTCCCGCATATTTAATTTTATATTTCGAGCCAATGGAGATTCGATGCTCTTTAACAATTCGATATATTCGCACATAAGCCGATTTACGTTTCATAAAATCTGAAATTGATTTTTGTAAAACATGTTAAGGTGTGATTGAGTATGAAGTAATGTTATCGAGTTTGAGATTTGAAAACGTCAGATGTTATAATTATAATGAAATGGACCAGTCGTGTGTTTCATTTCATCAAAGATACTTCTTTTGGCTGCTCTCAATGGTTTCCCAGTCTTGGTATTTTAATTAGAGTCTCTCTGCCCGATAACTTATTTTGAGAAGGTTGCCATTTCCGTGTGGAATCGGCGGTAGCAAGTTTTCTTCGATTTTCCAATTGCAGACTAGTGCTTTGAAAGGCGACATTTACTTATTTACAAACTCCGTGATGGCGTGTTGTCTAATCTTGAGTTCAGAAAAAGAAACAAACAAAACGCACTTAAAATGCCCTTTATTAATAGTATTATATTTTTTTTAGTTGGGTGGGTGGGAGAAGGGAGCCAAGCATGGCTGTCCTGTCATTCTCTTCTAGAAATATTTTACATAATTGAAAAAACTATTTTTTTTTTTGACAGTGCAGGAAAAAATATTAGCGCATGTACCTTGACCCCCACTTTGTATAGGATAACAGCCTCAGTCTGCAAGGATTACTGAGCAGCTCATGCAGTATATTACATTGAAGCATATAGACTTGAACCCACTACCAACGTGCAATGGG